TTTTAGGTTTAGAGTTTAGGGTTTAGGGTTTTGGGCTCGAGGGTTTTAGGTTTAGGGCTTGCCCGATCTTCAAAATCTGGCGTGTAGACTGCTGAACAAAACTGCAGTCACTATACAAGTGTATGGATTATCGCGGTTAAAGCCTGAGCACTCCATTGAACTGGTTTTGGACTGGAAAACATCACTAAACCTTGCACCCTGAAACAAATACTCTAACATCCTAAAACCCTAAACCGTATTTCAACCCCCCTTTCCCCGAGATGCCCTTCGGGACTCCTGGATCGCCATTCTGATGGACCGCGCGACGCGGGACGTCGAGGCGAAGCGGGCGTCACGCCACTTCCGGATGATGGCGTAGCCCTGAGTGGTCGGAGGTCGTCGGGGCCAAGGGGTCACTCCATGTGATCTTCAGACTTTGGGTCTGCAAAGTCTTCAAGGCATTGCAGGTCGACCAAAAGATGATTCGATCCTACCGTATTGAAGCTCCGCAATGCCGTGCGTATTGCAATGAGGTCCTGCGCTGCGGGATCTTACAGTCCAGGTTTGCAGTTGTTGGAAGGAAAAGCTTTGGGTACTGGTCTGGGTGCGCTTTAGGAGTTGCTCGCGCGGAAGGTAGGCTTTCAACGGTCACCGTACTGTCAAAACATACGCCTAAATCGGGCTGAGAACAAGACTGCGGCGAAGCTGCGAGATTAAGGCATCGTTTGGGCCAGCGGAGCACTCCGACAAGTAAAGGCCTGTTGCTTCAACGTTTCAACAACTGCGGTTTATGATTGGGGAAGGTTCCTTGGTAGTTTTTTGCGATTTTAGAGCTTGGATCTGGAAAAAACCGAGAGGCAACAGAACTGCGTCCCATGTTGCTACAACTTTTGGTTTACTCAAAACAGCATGCCTTACAAGGATGCTGGAATCCGACCAAGGCACATCGTGAGGCTGCGTTTTCCTGTAGTCGTTAAAACCTGGCCAGGACGCCAAACATAGGGCTTCTTGTGCCTTAGGGTTTGGGGATTTCTGTGTTGTGAAGGTATTGAACACAGAGGATTGCGGGTTTGTACTTTGTCATGTTTTCGATCTAACACTTACAAGTATTCCGGAGTTGGTCTGGGATATATAGGTAGTTCTCTGAGTTAACGTCCCTTTCATAGGTACTTTTCTATGAGGCTGCAGTAGTATTGTGGGGATCTAGAAAGGGGTCACAGTTTAGAGAACTACCCATATAGTCTTTGGCTTAATGAAGCTTCTTGTTTCTCTGACCCTCAAGGCACACGACCTGAACTTATTCTTGCCAAACATCGAACACCCTGGGCTCGGAGGATGGATATTCCATGCTTCGAAAGTCCGTGCTCTTGGATACTGCTTGGCCGAACAACATGGAAGCGAAATCCTGGAGCCCATATTTCGAACTCTCAAAGCAATGTTAAAGTTAATGAAAATCGGATACGACGGAGAATACTGTGACGCAAGACGCGACCACTCCCAATGTTAATCCCGAACCTTTCGGAAAGAGGCAGCGACCTACACAGTAGACGAACACAGTCATATACAAATGTACAGTATACTATAACTTAATATTCATACATACTAATGTACTGACATCCTAATATAGATATATATATATATATATCGAACACGAATACTAATACTGACTCAGACTACAGAAACGGACGCTCTGGGGGCCCAGTGTTCCCGCATAGTGGGTTGTTAAGGGCTTAAGAGACTAAGACTAAGACCAGTACTGCTACTGATACGAATACTAAGATCAACACTAACACTATTACTAATACGAATATAATGTACAATTCCTTATATGCAGGCTGATGTTAATGTTAATATCAATACCAATACTGACATTGACATTGACACTGACATCAACAATAACACTATTCAACACGAACACTACTATCAACACTTATGTTGTTATGATATGAGTACTAATACTAACACTAATACAATATTAGAACTACTACTCTGAAAAATGGCAATATTCAGATGAAAAAAGAACAAGAGTTAGTCAAACCAGGGCATGACACGGGTGGGAGCTATTTGGGGAGTGTAAAAGGTAAGGCCACCAAGCGGCTGGGCGAAAGCACCAACCGAACCCTAAACCCTAAACCCGAAACCCGAAGCCACAAAATGAATTCCGAAATCCAATGTTTTTGACCGCCGAGTGCAGGCTCGAGAGTGTGAATCGATCGCGAAGCCGGAGGCTCCAAGAAGGCTCCCGCATAGAAGCATACTGCATACAATAATAAAGTTTAGGGTTTCGGACTTAGGGTATATAGGGGCTTTAGATTAAGTATGCGGTAATGTAAGAGGCTTAATATTTCGAATAGTAGTCCTGTGAGGGATCTTTGATGACTTGACTAGAGAACCCCCCCAAAGCCATGCTCGATTTATTCACAGGACCTCTATATTTACGAAAGAGACTTGTTGCTCCGGGAACATACCTTTTGAAAGCGCTGTTCGACCATTATCGCCCTCGAAGGACCTTCATGAAACAATACAGACACTTGATGAAGCGGTCCCTAAACGCTAAACGCCTAAATTAATAAACCCCAAAACCCAGAACCCTAAACCCCTAAACCCCAAACCGTAACCCCCCAAACGCCATTCAGCATTCAACACCGAAATCCCTCAGGGCAAATCCAACGGGTTCTTAAGACTCTACAATGTCCTCGTTCTATATTTCTATTTAGCCTTCTGCTCTTTGCACACGGCGGAAAGCAGAGGCCATTGCTGCATCTGCTCTTCAATCCTTCTTGCCTTGTTTCTGTACTTATTCCGTCGTCCTTCAAATCGCTCTACCTGACTGTCTTTTGGTGTTGTATGTCATCCCTCCTTCCTGTTGATATTCCTTCCGCTCTGTTGTAGTTTGTTCTTTGTTGACCCTCTTTGCCTTCTTTCCGTCCTCGCTGCTTATGGAAATTCCCTTTTGGTTGTTGTTCCTTCTACCGCTGTGCTTACTTCTTTATTCTCTGTGTGTTACGAACCAAAAGCTCACACGAAATGGGGTGCATCTTTTACTCACACTGAGGCAATTTAATTATAGAAATTTCGTCGGCATGGTCCAGGACCCGATCCTCAACCGACAGACCCAGACCCGCTGTCCCCGCAACCCCCGACCGGATGGCATCGCTGTAGGCAGATAGGGTGGGCTTCTTGGGGGCACGCAGGAAATAATCTGGACTTATGTCGGGTGGGCACTACGCCCAACGGCGGTATGGGGGAGGGGTGGCATGGGATGTTCTCCTCGGAATATGTACTATATCTGTAGCCTTCGGCACTATGTTCAGATGCGCAAGTTCAATTCAGTAGCCTGTTCCACGCACATGTAATTCAGTAGAATGACTGAAAGCCTGCCGGATCAAACAAAAAGTCTGGAAGAAGCAAAATTAAAAAAGGCACACCGGATAGAAGAAAAAACAAGGTAACAAAAGTGCTAGCACACATCGTCATGAGTCAGAACGCTTGGAGGCCAGCATGTGGCGCTGCATCGCGCAGGACCAGCAATCTGTGAATCTGAATCTCATGTGTGGTAGCTTCGAGCTGTTGGCAGCCGCAAGTGCTGCAAAGTTTCTCCGCACAAGGGCTTGAGCACAGCATCATCTCCACAACGCGTTGGGCTTAAATTCGTACCATTCGTACCTTGGCATGGACACGAACCAGCGTGCATGTCGGAGGCATTGCTCAGTTCACTTGGAGGCTTCGCTGAGTGGCAGTCAGGATTGGCGCTGCAGACCGAGCTCAGCGCAGCTGAGATTGGTGAGACGAGAGCATTGTCGGTTTTGCGGCTACGGTTTCAGCATTCACACTCTACGGCTACGGTTTAGGGCCTTCGGGTTGAGGGTGCTGCGCAACCGCGCATGTGATCATCGTCTGACAGAGGTCTCGAGGAAAAGAGAACTCTACAGTAGAGGGGCGCTTAGCCCAGACAAGCTGTCAGCGATACAGCGACCTCGTGAGAAGAGGCACGTGGGCATGTCTTCTGAAGGGTTCTGGCGCCTTTTTCGGGCCCCGCACGTTGCAGGCCGTTGTGGGCCTGGTGCAGTGTGAGCACGGAGGCCGCCAAAGCCTGCTCACTTGCGGTTAACGATACGTGTCTGGTGCTTCGCCTGACACTGGATGAGAGGACCCCGGCACACCTCTCGCACGCTGCACTCGTGGGCAATGCGGATGCGCCTCGGACATCTGACAAGCGGCCTTCCATGTCACATCCAGGAAGTACCCTGCGGCCCAGAAGCGCTGCATCCACTTTCGCCTCGATGTGAGCCAGGGCATCCGCCAGCTCCTGGCACCAGCGGGTGGCTTTCTGTCAGCCCAAGAAGTGACATCCCAGCTCCCTCGTCCTGGGCATGCTTTGCCATGGAATCGTCGAGACAACCTGACATCACCAACCGGAGAGCATGCACCTAAACGCAGCATCCATCCAGCACGATGTAGCAGACTTCTCAGACTCAACCTACTGAGCGCTTTACCTTTCTCGTCCTCGGCTGCCTGGATCAGTCTACTGCCGCACTCACGGTACTGCAGTCCTTTCATGGCGGTGTCCCACATCCTGCAATTACCCTGCGGCCCAGATGCTGCGCTCGAAGCCAACTCTTGCAGGCTGCATGAGGGGCCTTTTTATCATTGAGCTCCCTCCCTGCATTGCAACCCGTATAGACCCCTTTTGTAGAAACCCCCTAAACCTTGGACCCCAAACTCGAAGCCCTCAGCCCTAAACCCGAAACCCTTCCAAGGACCGCTTAAAGGACCCCTCTTAAAGGAACCCCGAAAAAACAACCTTTGCAGGAGACCTCTGGGATCCTGGAGTCTCTGGCCCTGGGGCCCTAATGTAGGGGCCTTAATAATTAGACCAGGGTTTTGTGGTAGATTGTACTATAGTTTAGGGTTTAGGGTTTAGGGATTAGGGTTTAGGGTTTAGGGTTTGGGGTTTAGGGGTCATAATGAGGAGCCCCCAAAATAGTTTAGGTGAGTATTAAGGCCCCCTATCTTCGGCCCTAGGCATCTCTCACGGCCGCGGCTTCTCGCTCGGCTTCGGGCACCTTCGGCTTGGTGGCGAAGACGTCCTGGCTTTGGGCGTCGAGGGCTTGGGGCAAATGATACTAATAGCAATAATTGCAATAGCAATAATAATCATAATAATAATCATAATAGTAATAGTAATCATAATAATAACAATGATCACACTACTAATAGTAATAACCATAGTAATATTAGTAATATTACAATTCTAACGAGAAGACGTCCTGGCTTCGGGCTTCGTAGCTGTAGGGTACCAAACCCATGAACATGACAGTGAGGAACCCTTAGGAATGACACTGGACATTCTTCAGGCTTCTACAGTAGGGTCTACCCAGAGGCCCTACAGTAGTTCCTTTTTGGGGTTCATATATAGAATCCTATGAGGGAACCCCCAAAAGGAGCTACTATGGGGCCTATGGGTAGGGTCTATGGTTTAGGTTCTGTTTGCGTGGCAAGTGTTTGCGTCGTCTTGCGTGGTGAAGTCTGCGGTTTTGGTGCACCAGGGGGCTTCACTTTACAAGCCTCAACCCCAAAAGCCCTATATCCACCCACCAGAAAAGACCACGAAACCCAAAAGCCCAAACTCTCCCGAAAAGATCCGAAACCCCGACAAGCGCGAGATTCCTCGTCGTCATCCGTGAAGAGCGCCACCGCTGGCGAAGGCTTCTTGGGCGCAGCGAGCTCGGCGGTGCTGAAGAGGGAGCCTCTCTGAGACTTTTGAGAAACTCTTGGAGCTTTAGGGCTTCTTTGTATTATTTCTAGTTTGGTTTAGGGCTTTGGGTTCAGGGTTTGTTGGTAGTCATTTTCCGAGTCTTTTTTAATTACTGCGGTATTATTACTCATATTACTATTAGTGATGGAAGTAGTAGTACGTACTTTGGGCTTCGGACTTTGAGCCTCTGAAGGTTTTTTGGGTTCGGGGGTTTTAGTCGCGCGGTTCATGTCAGTAGGGGTTTCAGGCTTGTTCGGACTGAATGACTGACTCCTCTTGGCTTGAGGGGCCAAGAACTCGTGCTTGAGGGGGTTTGGGCTCAAACGTCAAACTTCAGGTTGCAAAGGTTTCGGGCTTCAGACATTGGCGATCTTCACGCTTTTCTCGCTTGGGAGAAACGCTCTGACACCTCGTGCCTGGAGGCCCTTGTGAAGCCTCGACATCTGAGACTTCTAGTTAGATGAGCCTCTCTGACTCCGTCCTTGAACATAACAATAGCCCCCAATAGCCCACGATGTCACCATGACCACAACGGCCGTGACGGCATCTATGACAATCACAACAACACCAGTCATGATGCTCGTGTCAACCACGAAAACAACACTGACGATGATGATGATAATCAGGTTGAGTATGACAACTGGTCCCTATTTCAAGAAAACGTGAAGAAACCCTATATAGCCCTACCAAAAAAAACAAAAACCCTCTTCAAACATGCTTCTCGAGCCCGACACTAAACCTTAAACCCCAAACCCTAAACCCCCAAACCTTAATCCCCAATCCCAAACCCCAAACCCAAACCTACAGCTCCCCAAAAGAGCCCTAAGAGCCCTTGCAGATCCCTTTAACGGAACCCTAACCCCGAAACCCTCAACCCCAAACCCCAATCCCCTAAACCCCGAAACCCTAAACCCCCTAAACCTCTGAACCCGAAACCCCTAAACCCTAAACCCCGAAACCCTAAACCCCTAAACCCTAAACCCCTAAACCCCTAAACCCTCAACCCTAAACTACCCAAAAAAAACCCGAGCCCGGGCCGCCGCCTTCCTTCGCCGGAGCGCTTGGCTCTGGCGACGGGGCCGCCACGGCCTCGACCTCGGCGTTCACCGGCGAGGGCTCCGCAAGGCTCCTGGGAAGGGCAAAGTAAAGGTTTAGAGTTTAGGGCTTAGGCTTTAGGGGTAGGGTCTAGGGTTTAGGGTTCGAGCAGGGCAGGGCTTTCTGTAAGAGGGCCTTACATGGCATGTTGTTGTGGTGTGCCAGATTTTGAAATTTACATGGGGTTTCACAGGGTTTGCCAGCTGCTTTTGTAGCTGGATTTGGGAGATGTGCTGTAAGGATTTGAATTTGGGGTTGTAGGATTTCATGTAGGGGCCTTAAAGATTAGAAAAGGGTTCTGGGGCCCGATATACTGTGATTATAATAAGGAGCCCCCTGAATAGTATAGGCAATTACTTAGGCCCCTACATTAGTGTTTAGCAGTTTCGAAGCTCTGGTCTCCGACTCGGGAGTCAGGTTCAGGGGTCTAGGTTTTCCAGAGTTGGGGCTTTGGATTTGGTGCTTAGGGTTCCGAAAGTGTGGAGGGGGCCTGTGAGGCTTAAGGCTCCTATGTCCTATGAGGCTGAGGTTCTGACAGTCTGGGGCCTTCGGATCCCTCTGGCTGTTGAACTCAGAGGTTTTGCTGGGGGCTGAGGGGTTTAGGGTTTAGGGCTTAGGGTCTTGAGGTGCTGAAGCCCGAAACCACCCGAGACCGCTCAGAGACCCCTGAAGAAACACTCTGTAGCCAATCCATGATACCAAAACTGTGAGGCAGTGGAGTGCCCATCAGTGCGTAGATACAACCAGGGTTTTGAAACCCGAAAACTACCAGGGAATGTAGAGGAAACCATCGAGAGCGAACCTTTGCGGGAGTCGAATAGAAGCCTTACGAAAAGCCCTCATTTACTGACCTTGTGGAACCGTAATAAAACCTGTATGGAACCCGCATGGAACCTGCATACAAAGCTCTTCTAGGGCTCCCTTTAAGGGCTCCCTTTAAGGGCTCCTTTAGATAACTCCCTTTAAGGCTCCCTTTCAAGGGCTCCCTTTAACGGGCCCCTTTAATAAGCTACGAGCCCCGGAACCCGCAAGAAAGGACTCCGAGGCTCGGAGGGGCGCTGGTGGCCGAGGCCGTGCTCGCCGGGCCCAGGAACGTCGGGGCGAAGGGATCCGCCGTCGCTTCGGCCTTCCTGGGGCTTACTGGGTCCCTTTAGGGTTTAGGGTTTAGGGTTTAGGGTTTAGGGCTTGAGGGTTTTAGGGTTTGGCGGTTGAGGGTTTGAGGGTTTGAGAGTTTAGGGGTTTGAGGGGTTTAGGGTTAAGGGATCAAAAGGGCTTAAATAAGGGATCTATACTCGAAGGGCTGCTACAGGGTAGCCTTAAGGGATCAAGGATGGCTTTCTAAAAAGGTACTACCAGTATTTGGGCTCCTCTTCAAGGGATCTATATGGGTTTCTACAAGGGTACCAGAAGGGCCTACTGGAAGGGTACTACGAGGGTACGCACTGTAAGGGTTTAGGGCTCAGTTGAACGCTTACTAATTTACGATAAGGGCAGGGTCACTACCTGCCTTGTTTAGGGCTTTGAGGTTTGCAGTTGATTACTTGGAAGTTCATGGGTAGTTATAGGTGGGGTCATAAGTAGGGCAACTGTACTTATATCCCATATTAGGGGACTTCTAACCCCACTTATAACTGCCCCTGAACCTCCAGGTAGGGTTCCCTATTGGGTTTCTTTGCGGGCCTAGGGTTTCGGGGTTTAGGGTTCAGAGTTTCGGCCGGCCTTGGGGTTCCTCTGAAAGGTCAGTGTGAGGGTTACGATAAGTGTAGGGGTGTAGGGTTCCCGCAACGGGTCCTATAAGGGATTTAGTAGGGTGTAGGATTTTGAGGTTTGGGCTTTAGGGCTTTGGGTTCACGGGTTCCTTTTCCGCGGCTACTATTCGGGTTACTATATAAGTTTATGATTCACTTAAACGGATCTATATGGGTTTGGGGCTTTTCGGGTCTTTAGGCTTTAGTGCTTTGGGTTCATACGGTTTTTACAAGGGTTTCAGGAAGGTTCTTTGCGGCTTCGAGTATGGGTTAGGATAGCTTTTCTTGAATCTGGTGGTTGTTCGTGCCAGTCGTTTTTCAACGAGGCCTTTATCAGCCGTTGGTGAAAGGGCTTTTCCATGCAGGCGCAAGAGAATGACAAAAAGGGGCCGTCTATGACCTTTTGAGCAGAATGTTGATGTGCGGTTGCAGAGGGTGCGACATGCTCACACCCTGAGCCCCAAACCCCATAAAGGTTGTATGGGGCTTCGAAGCCTTGATGGCCCTCCTCCGTTTATGCTTCAAGCTCAGGTTTCACTGCGCCCTCAACCTTGGCCCCTAGTGGTAATGTTCCGTTGCGTTTCGCAATAAACCCGAAAGCCAAATTGAAAGCTTGACATTACACGAACCCTAAACCCTAAATCCTAAACCCTAGACTCAAACCCTAAACCCTAAACCGGCCTCCAAGCCCAAAAGCAAAGACGACTCCTGATGCTTTCAGCCGAAGCTCTTCGTCGGCGAGGGTGGCTCACCTCCTGCGGCGGCCCCTCGCGGGTGAAAGCGGAACCAGTAGGCCTTGTGCTTGGACTGGAGAAGCTGACACACCCAGAGACTGCAATATCCCTTAATTAAGGAATATACCTTAAACTATAGTAGGATCCCTAATATGATTTAAGGTATATTCCTTAAGTAAGGGATAGTGGAGTCTCTGGGCAGTGCACTGAATATAGAAGCCTGGATAGTTACCAATAGTATTCCGTAGGTCTCCATATCGCAAGTTTACTACAATCTAGGGCAAAACCCTATCCTAATTATTGGAGGCTGGAGCTTTCGTATTTACGGTTTGCACATTCTGAATTGGGGCGTTGGCTTTGACCTTCTGCTGACGACAACCGGTGACCAGTGAGCTATCGTTTCCGAAAAGATGGTGCAATGCCCAAGCCTTGAACCCCCAATACACCCCAAAGCCCCAGAAATCTCCGAGTCCAAACCCCAGGCCCGGACCCTGTAAGCCATGCTAAATCTTACTTTCTAACGTTCTCCTGTTGGTGATGACTGCTGCTGTTGTTGCTCTTTACTTACGATGACATGCCCAGTACTCTTAAACTCACCCTAAACCCTAAACCCTAAACCCTAAACCCCAAAACCCTAAACCCTAAACCCTAAACCCTAAACCTTAAACCGATCTCAACATCACTGTCGGGAAGCTTCCCAGATGGTGTAGTTGGCCTGCCGGCTGCAGCGAGGCACTGGTGATAGGAGTCCGGGTCAGGGTTTGGGTTTAGGGTTTAGGGTTTAGGGTTTAGGGTTTAGGGTTTAGGGTTTAGGGTTTTGGGGGTTCCTTGAGACAGGGTTCCTTAAAGGGTTCTATAAGGGCTACTTTAAGGGTTTAGGGTTTACAGAGTCTAAGAGGCCTTGGGGTTTAGGGCTCCTTGACAGCACGGTCAGTGCTGTATCAGTTTGTAATCATACTACCAACAAAACATTGAAACACTCATCAGTACAGCCCGAGTAAGGACCCTACGTCGCCGTCGCCGCGCTTCGCGGGGCTTGGGGCTGCGGAACATGGAGGGCTGGATGTTGGGAAACCCCGAAGCCCTTCATAGGCTCCACCTTAAACCCGAAACGCTGAACCCCCAATACCCCAGACCCGAAACCCCCAATCCGAACACCCGGAGCCCGGTTTTTCAAAAGCTTGCCACTCCGAGGAGGCCAGAGCCGCTCCGGGTAGTGTTTCCGGGGTTCAAGGTTCTGGGGTTTAGGATGCCCCATGCGTGACACGAAGCCGAAGCGACCTAAACCAAAAAATACCCAAAACCCAAACCCTAAACCCTAAATCGTCTCGGGCTAAGGATTTCACGAGTCGGGCCGGTGATCCCGAGAGGAATTTCCCAGGGTTTCGGGTCATGAGTTTGGAGATGTGGAGGGTGGAGGGTGCACGGGATATGGGTCGATTTCAGAACAAGGTTCCCAACTAGGGCTTTCTAAGGTCGGAGATGCCATGGTTTAGAAGGCTCTGGGCGTTCATTTCAACTCAGGCTCTTGCTTAATCTACTCCACGAAGGAACCTACAACACAAGCGAACCAAATTTGGGACAACTCCAAAAAAATTGAAACCAGAAAGCTTTCAACTTTCAATCATATTCAGCCGAAACCGAAAGCCGTCACACCCGCACTTTCCTTACCAAATCGCCTGGCAGAGGCTGGGCAGCATCTGCGTCCGCCCGGGGCGGTACGAGGTGCTTCGCCACATTTCCTGGTCGCAACGCTCGTGTTTGAGGTTTTTCACCAGCTTGAGTATACGAGTTTCTTGTGAACCCACGCACACATGCTAATTTCGATCGACTAAACTTAAACGACCTTGATTGCTGTTTCCAACGGCTCAGAAAGAGGCATATGAAGGCGTCTTCGGAAGAACAGAAGCCCCCCCGTGCAAAACTGCGAATGAACACAGGCTTTGCAGCACTTTTCCAGGCAATGAGGGATTGCCGGGCTTGCATCCAGGGTGCCCCAACTCCCCCCAATAAAACCATTGCGAAAACGAATATTGAATATTGTGCATGAATTCACAAGCACCCATGTTTTTGTCGGCATACCGATCAACAAGTGCTTCGTACCGGGCCACAGTAACGTGCGCTCCACAGTGCGGCATGCGAATTTACGCTGTGGGCGGGGAATGACAAACCCCGAGCTGCTCAACCTGCCCTTGGTTGTGACGAAATTAATAAGGACCCCCCCCCCCCCC